GATCCAACCCATAGTGACCCCTCCTTGGGTTTCCGAGGCAGTATCACTATGGAAGTAGATTGCCCAACCCTCCTTCTGAGGAGTGGCTGGTGGGTTTGAACTGTCAGCCTTCTGGTTTGTAGACAAGTGCCTCAGGCACTATGCTACCAGAGCTCCCCAAATCAAGATAGTTGAGACTAACATGCCAGGCTCCTTCCTCAGTGTGGGGAGCCATGTCCATCTTTTTTCCTGCTATGTCCTCATGTTGAGTGTATTACCTGCCACGTAGTAGGTGCTCAGTAATACACTGAATTACTGATATTCATTGGGTATACGCCCAGAATATTACATCTCAGTCTTTGTTGGTTACTCGTGGGATTCTCTAGCTTGCTAATGGCAGAATGGGTTCTGCTGATTCATGTCATATTGAAAGGCCATATTTACTGCTGCTAGACCTCTAGCTGAAGTGTAGTATTGGATATTGACCATTTGGCTCTCCATTTTCATGTGATAGAAGAGTACAGAATTAAAATTAACATGTGAAAAATGCTGAGAATATACCACTGAAATTGTTTCTGAGGATTTTATGATATTTTAGCTTTCTGAGGAAGAATGCCTATTGCATAAAACAAGTTATTCAGCCATTGAGGCTGTTTTCTGTAGTATGTTAGATGTGGAAGAGGTCTGTCCCTTTATTTAGGGAACTTTCTCCTTTTACTCTTGCTTGTGATCTTTTTGAAAGGAGCCCTGATGGCACAGTGGTTCAGTGCTTGGCTGTGACCCGAAAGGTCTGTGGTTCAAACCCACCAGCTGCTCTGTGGGAGAAAGATGAAGCAATCTGCTTCTGTAAAGATTACAGCCTTGTTCTAGTCCTCTCCTGCTGCTGTAACAGAAATACCACAAAAGGATGGCTTCCTTCCAAGCCCATGGAGCAGGCTGGAGGCTTCTCCTGACTCATGCAGCTGCTGGCTGCTGAGGCTCACCAGTCTGAGATCAGCAGGTAAAATGGCAGATTGTTGGCTCACAGGCTGTGAGGCAACAATCCCATGATTGGGAGGCAACACAGCAGGCCACTCATTCAGGTCCAGGAACTGGAGATAATGAATCACGAACCAGATGCAGGATCCTTTCCATATATACTGGAAACAAGTCACACCCCGAGGGCAACGCCCCTTCTTCTAATTAACTGCTCACTGCAGGTTCCACTGTGGAGTTAATCACACCACATCTGATCTTATCATAGGGA